TTTGGTGGTTCCTCAAAAAATTAAAACTACAATTACTATATGATCTTTTTTTGCATATATATCCAAAAGAACTAAAAGCAAAGAAGTATTTGTACACCCGTGTTCATAGCAGCATTATTCACAAAAGACAAGAGGTGGAAACTACCTAAATGTCCATCAATGGATAAATGGATAAAACAAAATATGATACAGAGTGAAATATTATTCAGCTTTAAAAAAGAAGGAAATTGACACAATGTAGTAAACTAACTATACCTCAATTAAAAATTATGATCTAAAAATTTTAAAAGATGATAAAATAAACCATATGACATTAAAAAACAAAAGCAAAACAAAAAAAGGAAGGAAATACTGACACATGCTACAACATGGCTGAAACTTGAGGACATTATGCTAAGTGAAATAAGCCAGTTGCAAAAAGACAAAATTTACAGTTCTACTGGCATGAGGTATTTAGAGCAGTCAAATTCAGAGACAGAAAGTGGAATGACAGTTCCGAGAAGCTGGGAGGGTGGGGGTGGAAGTTTAAAGAGGTCAACTTTGCAAGATGAAAAAGTTCTGCGGATGCTTAGTGGTGACAGAAAATAATGTGAATGTCCTTAGTGCCAAAGAACTGTACACTTAAAAATGTTTAAAATGATAAGTTTTATGTTATACTATTTTACTATAATTTTTAAAAATTAAATTCATGTTTAACTTAATACAGATACAGTTACATGGAAAAATATTTATAAATATGTATACACATACCAGTTAGGATAAACACAAATATTTCTTGCTCTCTCAGTTAAGACTGTCCTAAAGCAGTAACACCCCACGAGTGACAACACACCTAGCAACAAGATTTTGGTTCCTAATACCATTCTTCAGTAAGAAGAACCATTGGCTCCTTGGAGAAATGGCTGATTCAATGATAGGGGCAGGAAATATGTAAGATAAGCCTGGAGCATCCTGTAGTTCCAGATGGTAAGGAAGTATTCAAGAACAATAGCAATAAAACAACAAAAATGGGGTCTGTCAAAGGGGCATAGGAGCCAAAGAGCTTCTAATAGACAAAGCTGGAACAATCTGAATAACAAAATTAATAAAATACTACTGAATTATAAACCAAAGTATAAAAATAAAAAATCCTACCTCAAAAATTTTTAAAAAAGAACAAAATAAAACTAAACCAATG